ATAATTGTAGAATGATTGTCGCAGAAAGGGCACATCTTAATCTCAGATGATCTTGTTAAAAAATAACAATTTGGTATTTCTTTTGTTTACTTGAATCATCCTAGGTATCTTTCTGTGAAGGTAATTGTTTCCTGGGTCATCAACATAAACAAATTCTATATAAACCAGATGTTTTTTGTTCTTTGTCCAGAATAATTTGTAAAGAATGTACATTCTGAACAGATAGCTTAATGTAAACAAATGCCAGTTTTCTAGATTCTCAGGAGACAAACAATTTGGATAATAAATTGCCATTTTCTTATCAGGGTGGGGAGTCTTGGTTTTGCTCAATTTTACTGAATTCAGTTTAGTTAAATCTGGGTTTCTATTTTCCCTTGAACTTTAATTTTATTTTATTATTTGCAAACATAAATTTTAATGCGTTTCATTTTTAATTTTCTTCTCAACAATTCAACCTGCTCTCCTGGGAATTTTAATAATTATCATCCAATTAATAATCCCTCTTAATTATCATCCTGTAATTTCAGGCATTTAAACAGGAGCAGTACCCTATTCACATAGGGAAGAAAAAAAAAAAGATCACTTCTCTCTTTGCTGTAGTTGCTAAGGAACTTTGCATAGTTGATTAATTGATTTGTTTTTTTATGGCTTATCAACCTTGCAAGTTATTTAAGGCAAGAAATTTAATTTTTAGATTATAAGAATTTTTTTGTTTTGAGATAATAATGATTTACTGATAAATATTCTACTAATTAAGCCATTTACAACGTTTCAACTTGATTATGACCTTAAGCCTTCACAAACTGGAAGTAAAGAATCAAAACATCAAAATTATAATTCAAAACTGGCAATTGCTTTTGAAAAGGATCTCCAATCAGTGGTTAACTGGGGCAAGGAATGGCTTGTAAATTTCAATGTCTCTAAAACATCTGCTTTCATTTAATTACCACAGAGAACCTTTTTCTGCCTGTCATCAACATGATTGATGCTAGACCCCAGGAGATTGTACTGAATCAATTGTTAGTTCTACTGATTGGAAAGTTGGTCAATATGTCATACCAGACAATTCTTCTCATCAGAATCGTGCTTGCACATTTATAAATATCTCATCCGCACGTGTGTTGAATAGAGTTGTCATATCTTGTCTGGTGCTCCTTCTGTACATCTTGAGATTCTTGACAAAATTGAAAGAAGGATCTGTAATGTGATCGATCCTGACCACACATCTCAACTTCAGTCACTTTCTCACCGATGTGATATGGCTTCCCTCTGTCTTTTCTACAAATATTTTTTTGCCAATTGTTCTGATGAGCTTTCCTCCTTAGTCCCTTGACTCCATGAATTTAAACATGCTACTAGATGAGCTACTAGGTTTCACTGTTTTACTAGATAGATGCAACCATCAGTTCTATTCAAATAGTTTCTTTTCTTGCCTATGGAAAACCTATTTTGATTTCTTGCTTCTCTGCCACCTACAATCTTCAAAAATTTAAATGCAGTGTTAATCACCATCTTCTGTCTTCCTGAATCCTGTTCTTTTATTGTCCTTTCTTCTCACTGAAGTTTTCTCTTTCACTACCTGTAGCCTCCTGGTGGCATTGTCCCCTTGCTTAGAATGAAACAAACAAAAAAAAAAACAACAAAAATATCTATGAACTATGCCCCCCTCTACACACACACACACACACACACACACACACACACAAGAAGAATTTTCTTTTTTTCAGAGACAAATAAAAAATGATTGTAAAAGCAAAATACAAAAGTATCCTACAATGCAACATGGCCAGTAAACAATGATAAAGTTTGAAGATGGTCACAAAATTAGTGGACATTTGCATGTCTTTGTCTGGGCAGTTTTTGAGTTGAAGGTCAACATTTTAAATGTCAATTTTCAATCAAGCCATCCCTATTTTGAAGATGTTCCAACATGACATTCCTCCCAACTTAGTTGTTAGTACGTACATGTACTTGTGGGACCTCCCTGCTGGCATACTGCTCAGTATGTCTATGTACTTTTAAAATATTAGTGGTGTCAGCCTCTTTTTCAGTGAATTATTCATATGGCTATTTTTGGTACTCCCCAATCTGTCAGGTCTGAAATAAAACTGTTTGAAATTTGGAGTTGTACATTTACAAATACGACATCCATCTCTCACCCCACCCTGCTTTTTCTCTCTGCTTGTTTGACATTAAATTCATTGTTTGTCTTAGAGAAATGTCCATTTATTCCTGATAGGATCCCCCCCCCCTTTTATATTATTTCCTTTTTAATTTAGATAGAAAAAAAAAATGGTTGTCATTCCTTTATCGTGACTATATTTCATACCACCAGTCAATGTTTGATAGATTTTTGTTTGTTCTAAAAAAAGAAAAAAAAAAGTATAATGTTTCACTGTTTTTCTTTGCTGATTGTTTAGGGTTTGATGACCATTTAGGGATCAAAGGTCACCACTCTGAAATCTGGCTTTGATAGATATAGACATAAAACTGTTTTTATCTTTCTCTCTCTCAGAAATGTTATCCTTTTGCTCAGACACAAATAGACATTTTTATTCTTTAGTCATGAAAATCTTTTTGTTATAAGCAGAAAAGCACATTCATCTATGTCCTTATAAAATCAGTGACTCTGTGAAACAATTTTTTGGAAATTGTTATAAGGTCATTAAAAAAAAAAAATCAACATCCTCTACGAAGTAATCCAAAGAAATAGGAGTTACAGAGCTTTCAAAAACAGAAACTATGATGTGCAATTTGAATGAAAACCATGATGGCACCGTACCCTTAATAAATCATAAAAATTCAGGATGTGGAACTACTAAATTCTAAACAATACAAATAACTTTGCATAAGGAAATTGAACATAACTGAATTATGAAAGACAGAAGATGGTGATTAACACTGCATTTAAATTTTTGAAGATTGTAGGTGGCAGATATAATTCCTTATAAGAAAATTGCTGTTGTTACCAATACCATTTGCTTGGTAGATGGTATATGTTCAAAAATACTCTTAGGTTTATGTAAAAGTTTCTAACAATTTTTGACATTACATACATCGATATAATAAATAAGAATGTCAGTGTGTCACACTCTTTCAACTTTACTCCTAGAGGCTGTAGCCCAACATATCATGCCATTTTGGAGTCAGGCTGACGCCGTAAGTAAATTAAAAACATTCCAAGCTGGATCCAAACCTGCAATTCTGAAATTTTACTTTAATAGACAAAGAAAGCGAATTCTATATTTTTCTGATAATTTGTGGTTAAAACCATTGTATGAACAGTTAACAAACACATTTTCTACTTATCATAAACAAACAAAAAATTAATGCACAACATGAAACGGGTAATTGAAAATAAACCTTTTTCATTATGAATAGCTGGAATGCACTTTCATATAGGAGATGAATCCATAGGTCAGAAATCTTAAAGTAAAAGTTGCTCTGAGCATGAAAATTAATTACTATACCAACTTGCTGAGTCAGTTATGAAAGGCTATCAAGACTAAATGCTCAAGAAAACTGATGAAAGGGGGTCTCATCAGGACAATGTTCCAGCTCACAAGTCCTTGGTTTCTGATGTGCATGACTAGCATGGAACTGGTTGATGACCCTCCCTATTCTCTTGATTTGACAATCATCTGTTCCCCAACATGCAAAAAACAAAAACACTTGACTGGGAACAAGTTTGGCAGTGAAGATGACAGTATATCTGTTGTTGATGTCTTTTTTTTTTTACTAACAGAATGAATAGTCTTCTTCGAACAGTCAGATGTCAGATTATTTGGAAAGAAACAATGCAGTTATTAATGAGAAATTTTGAAACTAATGCCTGCAACATTTCACGGCTCTAGCATCACTCTTTCATAGTCAGCCTATGAACGTTTCAGCCCACCTTCGTAATAAAAATATTTCCATGTAAAATTATTGAAGGGAATTAAACTGAAATGAAGTTGTTTTTTTTTTATAAGAAGTAAAATTTAACTACCATATATACTTGCGTAATGTGTGATCTCAAAATTTTCACTTATAAAAAATGATTTTATCATTATCTTGTCTATCATGTGAGTTCTTTTTTTTAAAAGACCAAATTATAATAGACTAACCTCTTTTCCTCTATCTCTTTATTCCATCTTCTAGTTAAAAATGATAAAATTATCGTTAGTAATGCTATACTTGTTGCGTAAACGCGTACAGCCCTAAACAACCGAATGAGAAACAGCTAAACATCTTATAAACGTAAACCATAGAAAAGATGCATATTCGCTATGTTTGTATTTTATAAGACAGTATGTGAATATTACATGCATTAATATTAGATACAGTTAAGTAAAACATTAGTTTTATCAAAATCATGTTTATTTTAAATATAGCTGGACTTTTTGATTACAGCAAATGGATATATAGTTTGGTCAATGGCATAGCCAGAGCCAGAAGTACATAACGTTAATTTTATATCTTGTGTATGATGCGACCCCCTTAAAATTTGCTTCAAAATTAGGTCTTCAAAAGTCGCATGATACGCGAGTATATACAGTAATTTGTTTTTGTATTCATTTTTAAGACTTCAATATTTTAGCTTTTTTTTTTTTTAAAAAAAGATTATTTTCTACACATTTTAATTTTAATTTTTTTCTGCTGTTGCTTCTTCTTTTAAGTGCTATATCTCTTCAGGATGCTGGCAATCATGGCTCTCCACAAAAATTTTCTTTCCTTTGTAGCTCTTAATAAATTTCATCATTTTGTTACGGAACAACTATAAATGATAAAAAAGTTAAAAACATTTTGATTTTGGGATGTTTTAAAATTTTTAGGAGGACAGTTCTTGGACAGAAAAAAAATTTAAACTGCTGCCCTGAAGGTACCCCACCAATGCACAAAAGAAAAGTGTATATATTTGTGTTTGTATATGAGCTAATTAACATGTGACAAAAATTATTTGTTGTTTCACTCAGCATTGAAACTTTCTTTTTTTGTTTTTTTTCTATAATTTTAGGAAGCAAGACAGTATCGTGTTTTCTGAAGAACTGCCCAAAAGCCTGCCAAACCTGATTCGTTTTGTCCTTCATCATGCCACCCATTCTGTGAGGCTTCGAACTGACACGGCCCAGCGCTGCACATCTCGTTGCATAAATACCAATTTGCAGAATGCCTTCAATCGCATTTCCATCCTTGACAAACAGCTAAAACGTCTTGAGCATAGACTTGCTCGTCTCGAGGGCACTATTTTCCGTTCGAACTTGCTCAACGCTTCCCACAAGGCAGATCCCCTGACGACGCCTGTGCAGGCCACTTCCATTCTGGCACTACGCACTCACTGGGGTCAACAAGTGCATAAAAAGCAGCACCAAAAACAGATCTGTCAGAAACTGGTGCACTTTTTACAGAGGACTAGACAGTCATTGGATAAAGACGATTTGGTCAGATTCATGAAAGCCAACAACATTTTATTAGAATCGGCACCGAGTCGTTAGGGAAGCTTTACAAAACTTGGGGCATGCATCTAATCTGACATTTTTAAAACTTCTCTTCTGCTAGTTTTTTGGACTAATATCCTTATCTTTGTTGTTTTTGTCCTTATATCTGGAATAAAACTAGCAAGGATGATAGCATTAGTGCGAACAACTTGTGCACTAACATCATCTAATGTATTTTTGGTGGTTTCTTTCTGCAGTGTCTTGATCTGTGTTATCTTCCATCATCGGCAGGAAAAGCAGTTGTTGGGTATTTTGGTAACAACATAACACTTTTCTCACAGGAATGATTGTATAACTATCAAAAAAAAAATGTCAAGATCAGGATGTTAGTCCCTATAAATAATCAACTTTTAGGTTGCTTGAGCTTTTTTGAAGTCTGGCACGATCTTGTGATGCCTGTTGCAAGATGATTTAAATTCTGATCTTAACGAGATAAGTTGCAGAGTCGGTGTGTGGTGATTGGGTGGGGGTGGTGGTTTATGAAATGTCTTTGCTTTTGGCAGAGCTGAACTTTATATGCAAATCAGGGAAAATAAAAAAAAATGAAAATAAAAAATCATAGTTTGGAAAGTATGTCATATGCAGTAAAGCTTCTCACCAAAAATACCAGTGCCAATATTCTTGGATAATTACCTTGCTACTGAATTGCCATTACTAACATTTTGGTCATGTGTGTCGTTTGCATTGCTCTGTATGAACTTTGACCTGTGATTGGTCAGTAGAATTTATTTTGGCATTTGGGTTGAAGAACATAAAATGGTGCCCACAATTGTACAATACTGATATTGTTTCTATCAGAATATAATAAAATAATTGTGACTAATATTGGTAATAAGTGATGGCAATGAATTTAAAATAGGTTATCTTCAGGGGAATTGATCTGTTAAATTACACTTGCCTTTTTGCTGAGTTATTTAAAGTGTGACTGTTAGACTAAAAAAGTAAAGAAAGAAACAACAAAATACTCTTGTTTTAATAATATTACTACATCGGTAGCAGCGATGATGGTGAAGCCATCTAATTTATAAAATATATTCAATTAAAAAGAAAACCCCAAAATGGAGAATATATTTTGAAAGCATTAATACACCTCAAATTTAATGGGGCAGGAGCCACATCCTTTCCCTATCATTTCATTCCCTTGTCCTTTTCATTTTACTCACAACCTCTCCTTTACCTTTCTGCTTTCACAAATGACCTATGAACCTTTGGCCAACATTAATTGAAAGGCCAGTTAACTCTATGCAGGCTAAAATTTGGTTCACTGGTCAAACGTGACAATCTGAGAGGTCAGCAAAGCGACCTTTGTATATATAAATAGGACAAGATCTTTTAACCTACTTACCTATCTCTTTCTGTGAATGATCTTTCTCTCTATTGCTTGCTCGGTCTTATTAATTTACTCATTGTTGTGGAGCATCTTCTTCAACATTTAAGTTCGGAAAGCTTGTCTACAATGAAGTCTCTGAGATTTCAACAAACTAATTTTGATAAGGTTATTTAAATTTTTTTTTTTTTTTTTTTTAATTGCCTCTTTTGGTCAAGAAGTGTTGAGTTGAGTGTCTACACATTTTTTTTTTTATTTCATTTATTTTTTCTTTTCCAAAAAACATCTTAAAGAGCAGGTTGAAATGACGCTTTCAAGTGCCACCTGAATCAGAAACTGGCCCTGAGGAGAAATAACAGTTTTTAAACCTTGGTTCTTCTTATGAGCAGTCAGTCTTGGATATAATCCTCCTGAGTGGCACAATAGGCAGATTGATTCAAAGACTCTACCTCTGGTTCACCACATCTTCTCCTCTACCCAACACTCTTGCCAGTTTGATGCACCCCTCTCCCACTGCCCGACCCCAAGCCCGTTCCTGGTTCATCAAAGTTGACTCTCTCTGCTGTATGTTTTGATAAGATGCAAAACTGAATTTGTGGAATGAAAAAAATAAAAGAAAAATAACACTAATTATAAATTTCAATTTTATGGTCAATGTTCTTATATTATCATATTGTAAAAACGCCTTGAAAAAGCTATTTTGATAATGTTCGCTGCATTCCCAAGTTTTGCTCAATTGTTAGAGCATCAAACCTTTAGCTGTGAGGGCATCTCCCTCTGGTGAAATTTAAAAAAATGTTCATTATAATAAAACAAAAAAACAAAAAAAAAAAAAACTTACAAAACAGGCATTAAATAACCAGATATCATAAATAAAAAATAATATTTTTTTTCTTAAATATTCAAAATTTCTTTTTTTTTTTTTTTTTTGTTTTCTTTTTTGTTTTCTACAGAAATGTTAGCAACAGACTGAAAAGATTTTTTAAGATTATTCAAAGTAGTGTCCTCATCATTGTTATTTCCATCACAGCTGGTCGGCTCTTCAGCCTTCCTCAGGTTTTTCAACTGGTAATTTAAGAATCTGTTTTGTTCAGTTTAATTTTTCTGATAAATTTCACTATCACCCCAATGGGACGTCAAATTGATAGGAGTGAGTGACAAAGGTTCATGCTAGACCTATCAATATTTTTTTTTGTTTTTTTAATGAAAAAATTGAGGCTTCATGCCAGAACTGTCGAAAATGCTTGAAACCATTTCTGATTTAATTTTTTTTTTTTTGTGAATTCCTGCCAACGAAACCAGTTGCTGTCAAAGCAAAAAAGAAACTCCCCGCTACCAATTTTTTAAAAACTTTTAATAATATTTTTTTTAAACTTTTAATAATTTGAAATTTTTTGTTTGATTATTTAAAGTTTTTTTTAAAATTTTTTTTCTTTTTACAACATTCATTGCTTCATATGGTTGGAATGTTATCAAAAAAAAGGAAATGAGAAAAAGACATTTTTTGCAATATGGTAACACTCAAATATTGATCCTATTTGTTTTTTCTTAAATTATCTTCTATTTTGTTGATGTTTTTAAAAACCAACAATAAACACATTTTTATGTTGGGAAAAAAAAGAATTGCTGGTGAGACATGATTTAATTGTTGTTTCTTTTTTTTTTAAAAAACTTGAATTATTCTTTTTATAAATTGAATTATTTTTTGAATTAATGAATTTGTTAAACAGTCTCCAGAAATTTAGCATCAGATATTCACACGATGGAAGCACCTCCTAAGAATCAATATGTTTGGAGCCTTGCAGCTGATCTCTTGTCTGATCTAGTTCTAACAGCCCAACAAGAAAAAAACAAAAAACTGGCTTGTAATTTTGAATATTTCAAAAACTAGGCTAGTATCATGTATTTTCTCCACTCATGATGAAATGGTTGCACTCCCAAAGAGACTTAATGATTTGAAGTTCACCCCCAGCCCTCAAGTTTTTTTTTTTTTAAGCATTCAACCCCAAGCAAGGCGGGAAGCCACTACCATGCAAGAGATTACAGAGAGTTGGAGCAAGAGCAAAGAGGAGTGATAGAGGAAAGGATGAAGAGAAAGTTAGGGAATAGATCAGGGCTTCTGGAGATGTCGATTGACATTACATTTGAATAGTTGGAGATTATAGCTATCAGGGAAACAGGAAGAGAGGAAGGAGTTCCACAGGCGAGAAGTGCGAGACATGAAACTATTGAACACTTAACAGTTTCGACAGTGAAAGGGTGAGAGCGAGATGCCAGCCTAGTTGAACGCTTAACTTCATGAAGTCTGGAAACCAGCGAAAACAGCTCATCTGAGCAGTTACTGTGAAAGTATTTGTAAAAAAAGACAGAGGGAGGCAACGGCACGTCTGTGAGAGAGCGGCTGCAGACGAGATGCCAGATCAGAGCCAGTTACATTGCATATCTGTCTTTGGATTTTATCAAGGACCTTGAGACAATTAGAAGGGACTCCAGACCATATATGGCAGCAATACTCCATGCAAGGGCGAATGGTTGATTTGAATGATTGACTCCAGTGAGAAAAATTTCCTGGCACAGCATAGGGAGCCAACTTTCCTAGTGGTGGACGAAGCTATTGACTCAATGTATTCATTCCATCTCAGGTCAGTGGACAATGTGAGACCAAGCAGTTGCAAAGAGGTGCTCTCATGGCGTTGAGCAACAGACATTCTAATGGGAGACAGGGATGGTTCTGTCTGGTGAGTAATAGCAGTTTTGTTTTTGAGGCATTAAAGTTCACCAGCCAATTCCTGCCCCAGTCCACAACCGATTGGAGGTCCTTTTTAAGACAAACGGCCATGTTAGTTTTGTCAGCGACACTAGATTTGTTTTTAACACATATATACAGTCCACTGCTAAAAATGCTGGAAAAAATGTCCAGCTCGTTCTATCACTTCAGGAAATTTCTGACAATCTCAGTTATACTTTATTTTTACAAGTGTTAAATTATACCAGAAATACAGTATTGCAGCCATATCTGGGCTGGAGCTGTTCAATCTTCACTTTTTAACCTTGATAGAGTTTAAAATCAGGTATGCAGTCTTGTAGGGGAAGACTTACTTTCTACACAGCAGACTCCCCTCCGCAGAGATGATGTTGCAAGCCTATTGGTACTCTATCTCTATTTCCATAGCAAATGTTCAAATGAGCACTCCATTCTTTAATTCCACCAGTTCAGACATTTACAGCTAGTAAACTCAATGCAGTCTTCATGGAGTTGAATCACCTTCATTTCCTCTGTATTCCAATTGTAATGAAGTTCCACTTAGCGTTTTCCCGAGAATTACTGTTGTGGAACAAACACCCACGTAGGTGTTTCCTTGAACCCTCTAATCTTAATAGAAGTAGATAGGCTTGTGTATAGTCCAGTTCACACTCCTTTCCTGATTTTTGAACAGGAGTAGAGGTTTATTCATTGTTCTCTGTTTAGGATTGGATTTCTGGTTGTTTCTGAAATCTTTTCATTCTCTTTCACTCTAAGTAGACGCTTTCATCTTAGTGGCGTATTTGCCTTGCTTGGGGTGAATTGATTAAAATAAATCTCAAGTCAAGGATCAGTTATTATCTATGCTTCTTGTCCTTATAATTGTCACTTTTTATCAACTTCTTTTACATTCATATTAGACTCTTC